ATGGATGGATGGATGGATGGATGGATGGATGGATGGATAGATGGATGAGTGGATGGATGGATGAGTGGATGGATGGATGGATGATGAGTGGATGGATGGATGAGTGGATGGGTGGAAGAGTAAGTGGATGGATGAATAGGTGGATGAATGAGTAGGTGGATGAATGGATGAGTGGATGGATGGATGGATGGATGGATGGATGGATGGATGGATGGAAAAAAGGAAGAGAGAGAAGGAAGTTATACTGATTGATTTATATAGTTCGTCATACCAGAAATTTCTGCAGACTGGGTTGCTTACAACAGATGTTTCTTCTCTCACTGTCCTGGAGGCTGGACATCTGAGATCAAGGTGTGGCAGGGCTGGTTCTTCTGCAGTCTCTTTCCTTGGCTCGTAGACAGCATCTTCTCCTCGCATTTTCACAGGGTTGTTCCTCTCTGTGGGTCTGTGTCCTAATCTTATGAGGATGCCAGTCATATTGAATTAGGGCCCACCCTAGTGACTTCCTTTTCATTTGATTTCATCTGTAAAGATCCTATCTGCAAATAATGTCGCATTCCAGGGTCCTGAGGGTTAAGACTTCAACATACTAATTGTGGGGGGATGTGATTCAGCCCATAGCACTAAGCTCTCACAGACACTTTGGAGGTCCATGGAAGGAGGGAGCGTGGGTACTCAATGCTTCCTAGAGTCCCAGCAACGTTGCCCAAAGCAGGTCTGTGCAAGGGAGGGCAGTCATCTGCTTTGCCAGGGTCTGGAGTCCCCTTCTTTCTTTCATCAGGACTCCACGTCCTCTGCCCCATGGCTCCCTCTTCCCAAACTTCTCTCTGGCCAGGACTTACACTCTGCAGCCCACAGTCTGGGGTGGAATTCCACGTCCTCCACTTATTTGCTGTGTGTCTTTGGGCCTGTGACTTAACTTTTCTGTACTTCAGTTTCCTTCTCTATAAAGTAGGATCAGGATATGCCCTACCTCATAGGTTTTTATAAGGATAAAATGAGGGACATTCACAGGATATTGGAACAGTGCCGACCCCTAGCAAGCACTAGGTCGGTGTTTGCTAAATAGATGAAGAAACCTTCTCCATGGGTAGGCTGAAGGTAGAATAGCATCAGGACCTGTCTGTGACCCAGGCTTGAGGGCTGTGGGCTCAGAGGAGGGGAAGAGCCTGCTGTGGTCAGGCCCACATCCAGAGGGGGCTTTTGCTTAGCAGAGGCTGCTGGCCAGGCAGTCCCAGCCGCACCCCATTTTATGCATATTAGAGAGAAATCCAAGCGTGATGGTCTGCAATTGTCCCGTTTGTTTACAGCATTTGTTGGAGCATATTTCTGGCAAGGAAGCTGACAATAAACCAAGGTCCGGGCCGGCCCGGCTGGTGGGCAGCAAATGAAGACAGCTGCCGAGGCGGGTGCCTCCCGGTGGGCTGGGGCCGGAAACCAGGGGCTCTGTCTCAGGCGCTTCAAAGAAGAGCCTTTGTCTAAGGCAGCCGAGCCAAGGGCCCCGCGGGGGCAGGCTGGCTGGGGCTCTGGGTGACGCCCGACTCACTCCACGACCCCACACGGGCAGCTCCCGCTCCCCGGGGCCTCAGGTTCCCAACTGCGAAGTAAAGGGGAACTAGGGCCCTATGTACCTGCTGTGAGCCCCGCGTCAGCTCCAGGGAAGGGAGGGTGCTCTTGGGGTGCCGCCTCACTCCTTAGAGCCTGCATTCTGCAGCTTCGAGATAGAGAGAGATCTCAGAACACTCAGCCAAGAAACAGACAGGCCAGGGCATGGCCTCCAGACACGAGGTCATGGGAGAAGGAGAGTCAGGGCCGCCCAGTGAGAGGACACAGAGGCTCTGTGGGAGAAGGGAGGGACAGTCGCGGCATAGGCACACACAGACCTGGCAGGAGGATCTTCTGATGGCCACCGGGCCTGCACCCCTGCTGTGAGCCCAGAGCCCCATGCACCTGCTTCTTGTCCACCTCCAGAAGGGTGTTGCCTTCTGCACATCCTTGTTGAATGGTGTCCCAAGGGAACTCTGAGATGCCACAACTTCAGGTGACTCCCCTGCCTCCCAAAAACAGTTACTGAAGGCGTTTTTCACAAAGGACGCCTCATGAAGGCACAGCTTTTAAGGACCTTTAGTGTGAAACGGGAGTGTTTCAGGCATGAGAAAAGGCCCAGCAGTTTCTGGAAGGAGAAGAGGACACTCCTCTGACTCCGCCAAGCGGGCCTGCCCCGTGTCGCGCTGGCCCATGCAGCTGCCGAGCCCGGCCGTTGGGCAGCACTTGGCGATGGGTGGCCGTGGGCAGGTTCCCTGGGCTCCTGGGGTCTCGTCTTCAGTCTGTACTTTGCACTGTCCTCCTCCCGCTGGGTCAAACCCTGCACTCAGGACCATCTGCAGGTCACCTCCCTGAAGCTGTCCACAGCACCAGAGGCTTCACTGGTTCCTCTGTTTTCTCTGAAGGCAGAGAATCTTCTAGTGTGTGTGATTTACAATGATTTGTGTCCCGGTTGTATCTGCTACAGCTGACCAGTAGTTTGACACAAGCGGACTGTGCTCAAATCTCTGAACCACCCCCCCCCACCACCACCGCTCGCCCCACACCTTGTCCTGAGCTCGGCATGTCACTGTGTACGGGAAGTGGGGGGCGGGGGGGAATTCACGGCCAGATCCTCCAAGTCAGGTGCTTTGCACACTAAATCTTACTTGACCTCCAAGCAAATGGGTGATATAGTGCCCAGGCCACAGACGAGGACCCAGAGAGTCAGAGAGGCAAAGGATTTCCCCCCAGGAACGTAACGGAGCCAGGAATTGGACGCAGACGCTTAGGGTTCCAAGGTCTTCTCATCCCCTCTCAGTGAAGGTCAGCGGCGGCGAGAATAAATGTGCTGGGGGCTCAGGAATTCTCGGAGTCAGGGTTGATGATGCCACTGACCTCGCTGGACTTAACATTCATTCAACAAATATTTGTCCCAGACACCAGAAGAACCAGGGGAAGCTCCGCCCCTAGCCCCAGGTGCCTGCCTAGGAGCAGGCAACACTGCTGATAAGGTGGGACCCTCTCGTGGGGGCGTGGGCTAGAGGGTAGGCATTGGCCATAGGCTCTGGCTTGCTGCAGAGGTGCCTCTTGTCTGGTGAGGGGAGCACGGGTGGGGGATGGGGCTGGCCCCAGCCAGGACATCGTCTGTGTCACTCAGCAGCAGACTGACCGGCGCCTACTGCCCGGCCAGCACTGCTGACCCCTCTGCCTGCCTTAGCCAATATTTGAGGTCAGGAGGCAAGTACAGCATCTGTGGGCAGGCCACCTGGCCAATGGGGTTCCCCTCCGGGCCTTCTGCTGCCATTCTGCTTCCTGAAGCCAGGAAGCCCAGTTCAGGAGCTCCGCCAGGGCTCCCGTGGTCCTGCCTGTAGCAGGGAGGTAGCAGGACCCCCTTGTTTAGCCTCTGCTGCATCCTCAGCTGCAGCAGGGAGCCTGCCAGGCAGGTGTGGGGTGGGTATCTCTCGCCGAGGCCCCCTAGGCACTCTTGTGTCAGGGTGGTGCTATCTGAGATCCTGGAGACATCTCAAATGGGGACCCTTTCTTAACCACACAGACAGGCAGGACAGCGGTGTCTTCCTGCATGACAGAAGGGGAAACTGAGGCCCAGGGTGATGTAGCCTGGGACCTCCCAAGCCAAGGTCCAAGCTCTTACCTCAGGTATGGAGTTCCCATGATAACCGTGGGTCACTGCAGCCCCACTGCCGGGCCTGGGGTCTGCACTGTCACCAGCATCCCCAGGGACTCGAGGGATGGCACAGCTTTGGGAAGAAATCCTGCCCGTGGTGAGGTCTGTGTCCTGCCCCAGGCAGACCATCTCAGCACTAGATGTTAGCCAGCTGTGGGCCATCTGGGGGAGCGTCTGAGAGCCGGGCCTTGAAACTTGGCTAGAGTTTGGTCAGCACCACGAGGTCCACCTGCCCACTGGAGCCTCCACGTTCATCTCCCCGGGTGCTGCCTGAGTTTGGCTTGTGATTCCAAAACCAGGTGAAGGCGCAAAAGCCGTGCTTCAGCCGCGAGGGGCCCGTGGGCCCAGGAACGCTTAGAATTGAGCTTGCTCCAGAGAAGACACGCAGGGCCAGGGAAGGTGGAGGAGCAGTCGCCCTCCCCTCGCTGTCCTGGGAGGTCTTCCTGAGGAAGGTGCCATCTGCTCAGAGACTGAGGATGAGGAGAGAGGGCACAGCCTATGGGGACAGGGGAGGGGCCTCTCCCAGTCCCAGGGATCATCTTCCAGGAAGGCCCAGCCCATCTGAGGAGCTCCATACGCCCCCGCGATGGGTGGCAGGGCTGGGGCTCTGTGGCAGGGCTTTGAACTGCCAGCCAGCCCCAGGACGGCTGCCTGGCTGTGTTGCTGGCCCTCCTCCTGGCGCTGCCCCACTGTCCCCGAACTGGATCCAGGCAGACAGGGAAATGTGGATGTCAGCTCTGAACCACCACATTCCTGAGGTCCTCTCCAGGCCCGGAGCTGCGCGGTCTCCTCTTTCGCGTTAACCCGAAAAGCCGTGCTGGGGGGTCCTGGCCCCCCCTACTCTGCCGCCTCTGCATTCCCTGCCCCTGCCAGCGCGGCCCAGCCAAGGCTTGCAAGCGCATTCCCAGGGGGCCTGGGGCGGCTGCCGCCTCCCGCAGGCGGAGTATTTTGGGGGCGTCCCCTAAATGAAAACAGGGCAGGAATGCTGGAGGCCACACCGTGTCCCCAAGGCTTGGGTGCGGTGCTTGGAGCTGGCACAGAAGAGGGAAGGGGGAGGGAGGAGGAGAGCGGAGGATGGGAGGAGAGAGGGGCCTGGGAAGCCCAGGAGAGCCAGCTGGACAGGGTGGGATGGCATGGGAAGAAGAGGGAGCCCTGTGAGGGCTGCAGGGCACCGGGGGCCTCAGAAAAGTCACTCGTGGGAACCAGGGTGGAAATCTCGTCTGCCGTGACGCTCACCCTCTCTGTGGCCCATTTTCTCATCTGTGAATTGGGAGATGGTGTTTTGAAGTCCCCACGGGGCAGGGCCCGAGTGAGGGCTGACGGGGAGCTAGGCTTGGCCTCCGCCCTGTCCTCAGGAAGGGGCCGTGTGATGTCCACGTGTGCTGGTCATGGTGGTCCCCTTGGGGTCCTGGTCCCCATCAGTCATGGCACTGGGCCTCCCTGTGGCTGATTCTTTGCGGGTCGTGGAATTTCTAGTTTTAAGGGGACCAGTGTGGCACAGCAAGGAGCTCCTGAGTGGCAGCAGGGTGCTCCCCAGGCAGGTGTGGGTGGGCGTCTCTCGTGGAGGCCCCCGAGGCACTCCTGAGTCTGGGTGGTGCTGTCTGAGCTCCCAGAGGCAGGCTCTGGCTCAGGCAGAAATCTTGTCTGAAGGGAATCTTGTCAGATGCCTCCCACTCCGACATCCCCATCTCCTTCCCCACAGTGATAGCCTGGTAACAGGCCATGCCTCTTTGTCCCTTGTCCTCCCAGGTCCCTACATGGGTCAAGATGGGAGCCGCCTTGAAGATCTCCATTCTGCAGAGGAGGAAACTGAGGCACAGACATGGATGGAGGGAATTTGCCCAAGGCCCTTCGGCCTTCTGGGCCAGGACCCCAACCCCAGCCCAGTGGCAGGAAGAGGGTCTCATGCCGCTCCCCCGCGAGCCCGATAATCCTGCATGCACGGCACAGGCCTCGGCCCTCCTCTCCCCTGGCCTGGTCACACCCTAGTGGGCCCGGTAGTGGGGCCTTCCATCCTGCCTCTGTCACTGCCACGGAAGAACATCGTGATGCATCCCGGGCCTCTGTCCTTCAGGTCAAGGGGGACTTCCCTGAGCACAGCCACTCACCACACCCCTGGGTCTGGATCCCACGCAAGGACAGGCCTGGGTCCCTGGACCAGGGTAAGAGGGAGACACAACAAGGCCCAGAGAAGTTGACTGACTGCCTAGGGTTTCTGGTCAACGGGCAATGGAGTCGTTTTGACACCCAGGTCTGGCCTCTTTGGTCTGCGCCAGGCAGTGTTGGGAAGCAGGCTTGGGCCCCCTCCAGCCACCCCAGTTGCTCCTCTGAGCCCCTAAGGTGGGCATCAGACCCAGGCCTCTCCCACGGCAACAGGAGGGTACAGAGAAGGAGCCTTTGTCCAGCTCTGGAGAAGGCCCTGCTGGGCAGGGGCAGTTAATGGACCTGCCCGGGGTGGGCCCCACACAATGGCACGTTGTGCCACCTGTCGGGGGCGATCATCGTGCTTGCCCATCAGGGCCCCATCGCGGGGACACACAGCGCATAGGTGCAGACCCACAGCGGCTGCCCAGGAGCCAGGCCCTCCAGTCTGAGAACACAATGGCCATCAGTCACCAGCACGGCACGGGGCCCTGGGCATGGGGAACTGGCAGGAGAGGGCCAACATGAGCGCCAGTGGCACCACCAAGACGCCCAGGCTTGGAAGGGTAAAGCCAGCCTGGCCCAGCCCTGCACAGCTGTAGCCTTGACACGCACCTCTCCTTCCTGAGCCTTGCTTTTGCATTCCCACAGCGGGGCCAAAGCCCCCTCTGCCACACCTGCCAAACTGTGGGAGAGATGACGGGAAATCAAGGACGAAAAGGTTCATAAGAAAGTGGGCAGATAAGGCTGCAGAAAGGTAATGGGAAGCTATGCCTTGGTCTAAGAAGCCCAGTGAGAACCTGCACAGCACGGCTGTGGCCCCCAAATGCCCCTTGGATGGGAGAGAGCTGGACCAGGCCTCACATGCCAGGGAGCAGTCCAGGGGTCTCTCCACCGCAGACCGCACTGTGACCCTGGGTGCCCACTGGTCTCTCCACCGCAGACCACACTGTGACCCCGGGCACCTGCTCCCCACTTGGAGCTCATTTCTCCAAAACTGAAATAAGGGAGCTCAAGACTCCCAGGCCCTTCCTTCTACCTCCCTGGACACCAGAGGTGGCTGCCATTGGGCACTAAGGACGCTTGACACAGAGGGGCCCCAACATGGGCTGAGAGGGGCCCTGGGCAGTGCAGGCCGCAGTGCCCTCCCTGTCCTGGCAACATGCAGGGACCCCAAACCTCCAGCGAGAAATCACTAAAATAGCCAGCGGCAGCTTTCCCACAGGCCTCCCATGTGGTATTTTTAGCCCTGGAGCCAGAGGCTTGGCTTGTTAAGAATAGCCTGGGGCAGTGGGAACGTGCTCCAGCTGCAGGCGGGCTGCGGACTCCCATGCACCGGTCAGTGGGTGCTCCAAGGGCCGAGAGGTGTCCACAGACCATAGGCTCCCCCACAGGAACAGGAGCAGTTCTCACTTGCAAAATCAAAAAGGCGCAATCCAATGCACTGGGCTTCTGAGACTGCAGTCAGGAAAGACGGTGGCTGTCCTCACAGGGAACCCCAGTGGCCGAGCCTCCCAGGGGCTGGCAGGCTGGATTTGGCCTCCCACCTTGCCCTCTGCAGCCCCAACCCGACACTCTCAGCGGGTGAAGAGGTTGAGCTTCCAGGGTTAGGCTGGGTGAGTGGTTCCAGCCCCAGGGGTGGGGGTGCCATTCCCAGGTCACCCAGCCAGGACCTGATGCACCCGGGTCAGCTCCTGCAGCCTGGACTGTCTGATAATTCCTCCCCAAGGAGATGCTCCTCCATAGCACAGGTCAGAAAGGGGCCTGGAGTTTTGCAGGGGGAGCCCTTGGCCCCTCAACACCCCAGCCAAGGAGGAGCGCCCCAGCCCCTCACACGTGCTCCTTGGGGATTTGGTCCAGGCCCTAGGGATGGAGTGAAGCTGTCCCACCGTCAGCCCAGGCACCTCTGGGGCAAGAGGCCCATCCCTAGTCAGCCCTGTTCTGCCGCACGGGCTGTTGTGCGAGCTTCGGTCTCTGTCGTGCATAGCTGCGGTCTCTGTCGTGCATAGCTGCGGTCTCTGTCGTGCACAGCTGCGGTCTCTGTCGTGCAGAGCGGTAAGGCTGGCAGGACGGCCAAGGCTTGGGACCGGAGGCACACACAGCCAACAGTCAGTGCTGTGAAGACAAAGAACCTGAAAGGTCAAGGGCTTCCAAGAGTGACAGAGACAGCCTTTCATCCAGTACCTCTTGACTCTGAAACCTCCCATGGCTCCCCAGTACCTGCAGCAGCTAGAAATCCAATTCGCCGATGAATCCTTGTTTCCTTCCAGATACAAACTCATCTGAAAGCATTAAAACAATGGAAGCAGGTGAGAGCAGAGAGATCCCAAGTGCAGGTGAGGTGGGGTCCCTGAGGCAGGCTCAAAAGCTGCTTCTCAAGGCAGGGGGTGCCCTGTGTGCCCTCTGAGAGCACAGCCTGCAGACAGAGTCCAGATATCTTGGGCAGGCCTTTGAGGCCTTCGTGTCAAAGCCCAGTTCTACCACTTCCTAGCGTTATACCTTCGGCCCGGTGGGAGTCCCTGGTTGCCAGTTGATGGTGTCATTGGGGAAGTCCAATGGTGGACCCCAGTCCAGCAGGCGCTCAGCAGTGCAGCGGTATCATTGCTTAGCCCCACCTCCCTTTCCAGACTCCGCACCCCTCCTCAGGCTCAGAGCAAGGACTTCCCCCTGCCCCTCCACCCGGCCTCTCCTCACTCCCTGTGACTCTGCCCAAGCAAGACCTCCCCGTGGAATTCGTTCATTTGTCAACTCATTATGCAGCCGGCCAGCCATCCCTTCTTTTTTATCCACATTTTCTGAGGGCCAGCTGCTGGACACATGAAGACATGGAAGACCCTAGGCCTTGACCTCCAAGAGCCCCAGTTTGGTGGAAGAAGCAAACAAGGAGACTGCAAAACACACCCTGTGATGGGGAGGGTTGAGGTTACCAGTGGGAGAGGCGAGCTGGCAGGGCTCAGTGGTGAGGGTGCAGGTGGGGGACCAGGGACACCCAGGAAGGAGATGGCTAGGTTGAGCTTTGCAGGCTCCAGGGGGAGAATGAAGAGCTGACACCTGCAATATGCCTGGAGCACAGCAGGTCAGTAGAACCAGGACCATCCCGTCCTGCATCCCTACCATAAACTTGAACTTTCTGGAAGGTCCTTGCTTATCCCAGCATCCACACACCCTTGACCAGACCTGGTCAACATTTGCTTAGTAAGTGAATCAATGAATAGTTTGCTCCAAAAGGCTCCTTGGTAATGGGGTTAGCCCATGGGAAGCTGTGGGGTAAGGGAGGAGAGAGAGGATTCTGACCTCCCAAGGAGCTGGGATGTGGTCTCCTGCTCTGCCTGGAGCCAGCCCTGGGCCCTTGGCATGAAGACCTGGTGAATATGCCAGCCCAGTGTTCTGTACCTTCCTCCTCCCTTGAGGCCTCTACTAGCCTCCTCTCACCCACTCCTGCACCTGCCACACCAATCTGTGTGGAGTGCCCACTCCAGCCAGGCTCTGCTCTATCAGCAAACTCAGCGGGCAGAACCCCTGCCCCATGGCACTGCTTCAGCCTGGTGAGACCGGCAAGGAGATTGTGAGCAAGAGGGCAGTGGGCTCTGCTAGAAGTCACAAGCGGTGCGGAGAGGAGCGGGGGCATTTGGAGCACAGTGGACAGGGATTACGGAGGTACAGGGCAAGGCAGCCCAGGAGGAGGGAGCAGCCAGTGCAAAGGCTCCGAGGCAGGAGGGCGCAGAGGCCCGTGGGGCTGGAGCAGAGGGAACTGGGAGGATGGGCAGACGGGGTTGGACCTCTTCGGCCACTGGAAGCATTTTGATTTTCCTCGAAGGCAGGAACTAGTGGGAGGCTTGGTCTCACATTTTCCCAGGGTCGGCCTGGCTGCTGGGGTGAGAAGAGACTGGAGAGAGACCACGATGGAAGTCAGGAGGCCAACAAGGAGCTGCGGTAGTCCTCTGGGGAGACGTGATGTGGCTTCAGCCCCAGTGGTGACGGCGGGGTAGAGCCAGAGGGGTTCTGAACTGAGTGGATGTGAAATGAGGGAAAGAGGGACGCTGTGGTCAGCAGAATCACGCCTCCCCTAAAGATGCCCCGTCCTAACGCCTGTCACCCTTGACAGTGTGACCTCCACTGCAAAGGGGACTTTTCAGGCATGAAGGTTAAGGAACCCTGAGATGAAGAGATGGCCCTGGACTGTCCAGCGGGCCCAGCATCATCACAAGTGTGCTTATAAGTGGAGGAGGAGGCGGGGGAGCCGAGCAGATGTGAGGACAGAAGCAGAGGTCGGAGGGACGTGCAGTTGGCTTGAGATGGAGGAGGAGCTATGAGCCAAGGAGCATGGGCAGCCTCTGGAAGCTGGAAAAGGCAAGGGATTTTCCTGGAGCCTCCAGCAGCACCCAGCCCCGCTGCCACCTCAACTGTAGCCCGGTGAGACAGTGTCCGATTCCCGACCTCCAGAACTGTGAGATAACACGTGTTGCTTTAAGCCACTGCAATTGTGGTAATTGTCACAGCAGCCATAGGAAACTCTACAGGGGTTGAAGATGACCTGCTGACCTCCGAGCTCACGCTGAAGCCTCCTGGAACGCTGCGGGTTGTGAGCAGGGATGAGAACGCAGCATGGAGATGAAAGACGCATCCACCGGGGAAGGCCCACTGTCATCGAAATTTCAGGGAAGATTCCCAGGCTGAAAAAAGAGAAAGTGGCCAGTGTGGCACAGAATGCCCCATGTCAAAGAAATGGCACCCAAGCCATCCGTCAGTCCCTCACCTGCCACACAGACAGCACCTTGGACCCAGCAAGATGTCACTCACCACACTGATGCTGTCCACAGGCATCGCCTTGCTTTTGCGACTCTGTGTGAGATCTGTCAGCTTGGTTTGGCTCTGGGGTTGTATCAGAGCTGTCAGCCTAGGAACCCACCCTGGTTTTGTGTCTGTACTATTTCCACAGCATTGGAATAAAAGGCGTTTTAACCAACACCAGGAACCCATGGGAATCTTTTCAAAGGCTCTATCAGCGCAACCGAAGGAACACTGTTGTCAGCAATGAAATCGGTTGAGGATTCGAAGCCGGCATGTGGTGCATGCAAATTTCCTTTTTTTTTTTTTTTTTTAAATCAATGATTAGACGATTCCTTGGAGCGGTTTTAGGTTCACTGCAAAACGGAACAGAAAGTGCGGAGTGACCATATCTCACCTTCCCAAACACACACACAGTTTTCTCTGTGACTAACATCTTGCATCTGTGGCACATTTGTTGCAATTGAGGAACCAATATTGACCCATTATTATAAAGTCAGTAGTTGACATAAACATTCACTGTTGGTGTGGTGATTCTGTGGCTTTGGATAAATGGAGAGTGACGTATATCTGCCATTACAGTATCATGCAGAAGAGCTTCACTGCTCCCCAGTGTCCTCCATCCTCCATTCACTCACCCTTTACCTCCCCCAGCCCCTGGCAGCCACTGATCCTTTTCTGTCTCCACAGTTTGCCTTTTCCATGTGTCGCAGGGTTGGGATCATGTAGCCTTTTCAGATCAGCTTCTTTCACTGAGTGACGTGCAGTTAATTGCTCTTCCTGTCTTTCCGCGACTTAAGAGCTCATTTCTCTTTAGCACTGGATAATAATATTCCACTCTCTGGACGAACCACAGTTGATCTCTCATCCGCTTTGTGAAGGGCATCTGGATCTCTTCCAAGTTTGGGCAGTTACGAAGAAAGTGACGGAAACATGCCGAAAACATGGCTCACGCGCTGTGTTCGTGGCGTGTGGAGGGGGCGCTTCAACCATCAAAGGAAGCTTGGAAAGAGGTGGAGTTCGATGACCTTGGGGCCCCTGGGGCAGCATGACTCCAGGGCGTGGAGAGAACTTTCTGGAAGGTGAGCTGTCCAGCAGTGTGGGGCCAGGGTAGCCAGGACATCTCAAGAAACTTTTCCCCGACATCTCGCCTCCCCCGCCAGGTGTAAGCAGAGGACAGGAAGACCTGACAGGGATGTGCTCTGCTCTGCGAGAAGACTGGGCACCGCTACGTCCCGGGACTCTGGGCCTGGGCAGCTCTTCCCTTGGCAGAGGGCACCGCTCTCCTGCTGCTGCCATCTCCTGCCTGCCATCACCCCGAGGGGCAGCCCTAGGGCAGGGCGTGAGAACCTTTCATCTCTATCCCTGCTTCCCATCTCAGGACCTCCCGGTGCCCCCAGCCACACCTGAGTCATTAGGGCTTTGCCATCTGACCCCTGCTCTGCACAGGGAGAAGCAGGAGATGGCACAGATGGGCGTGGAGCCAGAGCCACCCCAGCCCTGCTGCAGGACCACCCCTCAGCGGCGTTATCAATGCCCATCTGAGCCAACTGCGCACAAAAACAGGAAGACTGGGACAAGATCTTTCACCTTCCTTCGATTGTCATCATCCAATTGTTCTTCCCGCGGTGACGCCATCCGGCAGCTTCACCGATATTCCTCTCTGGCATGGCAGGGCCCGGCCCACCCCCCACAGAGGAGACAAGGCGGCGGAGAAGCCGGCCTTTCTGCAGGGCACAGGCAAGGGGCTGTGTGGTTGCCAGATGCACAGAAAGACCTCGACCACAACCTGGGCTTTCAGGGCAAACCCAGGGGCCTTTTCTTGACTATGCCGGGGGCATGGAAATGACTCCTCAAAATGCAGCACTTACAGCAACAGGGGAGCAGCCCTGCCAGACAGGCCCAAGTCCTGGGCTCAAGTTCCTGCTGTGTGGCAGGTGGTCCCGGACAGCGAGGGCCCACTCAGGGGAAAACATGGTGAGACCTGGGATCTGGGCTTTGACAACTGGCCAGTAAGACGAGGCTGGCAGGCTTGGAGGCAAATTGGCCACAGCAGCTGCTGCGCTCCTGGAAGAATTACAGGAGGAGTAGTGTGGCTCCCCCAGAGTTCCCACCTCCAGCAGGAAAGCATGGACAGGAACCAGAGGGCTGGAACCTCTGGAGACCCGGTAGGGAAAGGCCACCCAATCCCCCGGTGCTTCTAGGAAGATTTTTCAATATATAATTGTGACCAGCAGGAAGTTGCGACAAACCCCTGGGGCTGGGAGAAGCCATGCACCAGGATAGCAGGTCTTAAGTGAGGAGGGCAAGGACAAAGATGCCCCAGGACGCCCACCCAGAGCCTGGAAGGTGGAAGACGCTGCCCTCACCAGCCCCCGCTAGATACTCACATGATCACACACATGGGTGTGCAGCTGCGTGCATGCACACACACAGCGGCTGCTGGGTAGTGAGTGGGTCCTTGCTCCCTGTGGAATTTGTGAAGCCACTTGGGAGGACGCACCCTCCCTGGCCTCCAGGGGCTCCATGCATGTCCAACAAGAACACGTGGCCAGAAGGGGAGCCTGGCTTTGCTGATCCCAAGGCCCAAACGTTCACAAAGGCAACTGGGAACTTGAAGGGCATGGGGTCGAGTCCCAGCTCCTGCACCTCTGTCCTCACCTCTGCACCAGGCCTGAGATCCCTGGTCCTAAGTACCTCCTGGGGATGATGTGAGCTCTGGGAAGAAAAGAGGAGGCAGGGCTTGATGACAGGAGCTCCTGGGGCAGGCAGGGGCAGCTAGGATGACAATGCTGGTGGCAGACTTTGAAGGGTACGGGAGGCCTTGCCCTCCTCCACGCCCAGGGCTTTAACAATATGCAGAAAGTTCAGCCGGATTTGGGAGGCCATGACAGCCCAAGCCCCTGCAGCAACAGCGGATGTCTTTCTTGACCAAGATTGGCTGGGAAGAGACAGCAGCGTGCCACCGGGTGGAGAAGGTGGGTTGGTCCAGAACATTTCAGCTACAAGCGACAGAAACACCAATTTAAACTGGTTACAGCCAAAAGGAGAGGGTTAATTGATGTAGAACAGCTTCAGGCACAGCTGGTTCCAGGAGTCTGTCACTGGAACTTGGGGTCTCCATCCCTCCTTCTCTAACTCTGCTTTCCCGTGTTGGTATCACTCATGGGCAGACTTGCCTTTCTGTCTTTTCCTTCTAGTCCAAGATGGGCATGGGGCCAGAGCCAGAGCCATCCTGGTCCTGGGTGGCCGCCTTGCCAGCTACAGAACCAACTTCCAGCAGTGTTATCAGTGCTTTCCTGAGTCGACGAGCACCATGCACCCAGAGGGGCTCTACCTTGCTTTGAGGGTGGTTTGGATGTTCTCTCTTTCCTCTCTTTTCTTTCTGCCCCCATCAGAGAGACGGTTGTGGAGACAACTGAAGGGGCTTGGTACTGGCATCTGGAGGGCAGACGCTAGAGATGCTGTTAGATACCCTACAGGGCCCAGGACAGTCCCCACAGCAGAGAATTATCCGGCCACGGTGCAGGATAGAGAAATCCTGGGACAGTGGCTGTGGACGTCCAGATCTGGTCATTCCTCCAGCCACAGTGGGCTTTCGGAGGTTGTCCTGAGACTGCAATGCAGGGGGACAGTCCTTAGGAGCAGCGTGGTCCCCACCTGGGCTGACGATAGATCTTTGGGAGGCAGCAGTGGCCTAAGCCCTGGACTAGAAGGCAGGGGTCCTGGCTCTCGTTTCCCCTCATTCCCCCTCTGCTCAAATGTGTCACTCCCCGCTTGCCACCCGCATTTACTTGTCTGAGGCAGGAGCTGATCTAGGAGCTGGGGAACCACTCACAGGCCTTGGGCAAAGGTCAGTGCCTGCATAGTCTTGGCCAGCACAGTGTGCTTGAGCCCAGCATCTCAGCCTCCTCACCACGGGGATCGTGCGGCCAGGGAAGCGCTGGCTTGCTTCCAGGTCGGTTTGGGTGTTTTCTATTTCCTCTCTTCTCGTGCCCCCCCGCCCCACCCCGCCGCAGGTTCCCATTGAAATGCCGGCCAAACGGACAGCTACAGAGGCAGTTCCAGACCGCAGCCTTCCGGGGCCCTGCTCTGAGCAGCTGCCTGAGAGTCCCAGGCCGGGCGTACATTGTTCCATTTTTGGAATTCTTCGGGAGTGAGAGCAGCCTCGGCTGTCAACAGTGCTCTGTTCACAGAGGCCGGCCTGGCAAAGGAGAGAGGGTGAGCTATTGTCCAGGGCCGGGCTGCGGGCCGCAGGAATGTGCTGGAATGCCGGCCCGCATGGCACAGCCCCAGAGCGGAGCCTTTGTGTGCAAACACCACCGGGCAGCAGGGCCATCCCATAAATAATGATGACCTCACCCCCAGATATCAGGCTCCAGTGGCGGGATGGGGTGGGGGCGGGGGCCGGCCCGCAAAGGGAGACCACAGGGGAGGCGCACCCTTCCCCACACACAGGGCCCCGCAGCAGCCTCTATGCAGGAACGCCAGCCAGAGTGGGGCTGGGGTGGGTGCCTGCCCCTGGGAGCAGGCTGCATTTACTGTCTAGGGCCAACTGACACCCCACAGTGCCTGAGACCTTGGCATCGGGGCTCAGAGCCTCAACCCCAAAGCGTCCTAATGAAAATGCTGGTATAAGTATAGGCAGTTCCGGTATGGGCGCAGAGGTGCAGGTATGGGCATGTGCAAGTTGTGGGTATAGGGGGACGGGTGCAGGTATAGGCGGAGGGATACAGGTACAGGCGGGGGGATGCAGGTATAGGCGGAGGGGTGCAGATATAGGTGGAGGGGTGCAGGTATGGCTGGAGGGGTGCAGGTACAGGTGGGGGGATACAGGTATAGGCTTGGGGATGCAGGTATAGGTGGAGGGGTGCAGGTATGGCTGGAGGGGTGCAGGTGTAGGTGGAGGGGTGCAGGTGTAGGTGGAGGGGTGAAGGTATAGGTATATGCAAGTGTGGGTATAGGTGGAGGGGGACAGGTATAGGTGGAGGGGGGCAGGTATAGATGGAGGGGTACGGGTGGAGGTGGAGGGGGGCAGGTATAGATGGAGGGGTACGGGTGGAGGTGGGGGTGAGTATGGGTGGAGGAGCAGGTGGTTAGGTGGAGGGGTGCAGGTATAGCTGGAGGGGTGCGGGTGTAGGTGGAGGGGTGCAGGTATAGGCAGAGGGTGCAGGTATAGGCGGAGGGGTGCAGGTGTAGGTATGTGCAAGTGTGGGTATAGGCAGAGGGATAGAGGTAGGTATAGGTATATACAAGTGTGAGTATAGGTGGAGGGGTGCAGGTTCAGGTGGAGGGGTGCAGGTACAGGCGGAGGAGTGCAGGTATAGGTGGAGGGGTGCAGGTACAGGTGGAGGGGTGCAGGTACAGGTGGAGGGGTGCAGGTACAGATATATGCAAGTGCGGGTATAGGCAGAGGGATAGCGAGCCCTAGATACATCCCCCGGGGGAGGAGGCCACTCCACCTCCTCCAGGCAGGTCACCTCTGTGAGCTGCTGCGCCTCCTTCCTCAGTAGAA